ACAGGGGATTGACGCGATGCGCCTGCCTGAGCGCCCCAAACCTACCTCTGAAGTTTAGGGGCTGGCGCCCCGCGCCACCCATAGCGCCTGGGTCGCCTGCTCCATCCAGTTTGTCGTCGGTTGCCCCGTTTGAGTTTGTTTAAAGTGCAGTTTCACTCCTTTTCGATTCTAACTACTCTCAGCTACTTTTAAACACCTAAATTCATTCATAACCTTGAATTCATAATTCAAATTCAAGGTAGAGTTGAGAGTTATGTTTTGAGAATTATTTCGAACATTCTAAGAAATCCCCTTTGAGTCATTTTGTGGAGTCTTATACAACTTCTAGTAACTTGTTTCAAGACTCAAGCAAGTGAGTGTGAGGATGAAGAGAATGTACTCATGAGTCTACTTTGTCATCATGAGATCTTTCATATCATGAGCCATAACTCTTGAATTCATAATTCTCATTCAAGAGAGAGTTAAAAGTAGAGTTCAAGAAAGCCATTGAGTTCAATTGTAAATCCTTTGAGATCAACCAATTATTTGAACTAAGTCTTGAGGTAGTAAGTAAGAGAAAGAGAAGAGTTGTATACATGAGCTCCATAATGTTATGTAGACCTGCGAGTCAAGTCGTTCATGCCCATAAATTCCACATGAACTCCATAAATTGAGTATTTATGAGCGGAGTAATATCTCCATGTCCTAAGTCTCAAGTATTGAGTTTATAACCCATTTGAGATTATAATCCTAATCATGGGACTATTACCTATTACCCATGAAGTCCATGAGTTGAGTTGTTCATGCCCATAATTTCGCATGAGCATTATAAGTCGAACAATCTTGTGATGAGAAGTATCTATGAGTCCTTGAGTTGAGTAGTTCATACTCATAAATTCCGCATGAACTTTCTGAGTTGAGCATTCTTGAAGTGAGTAGTATTATTGAAGTTCTTGAGTTCCAAGTATTTGAGTTCTATCTATGGTTATTGAAAACCTTGCATTGAGTTGTTCACGTCCATAATTCGGCATGAACCTCATTTTAAGAAGTCTTTTACAAATGTTTTAATTTTGTTTTAAGACTAAAAGTTTCAAGTTAAGCAAAGAGTAAATTTAGAGTTGAGTCCATTTCTCAAAAAAACTATAAGGGAACTAAGTATTCCCAAAGAGTTTATTAAAGTTTTCGCATTTGAGCAAGAAAAAGGAACATGATTCCAAGAGAGATTTTAAGCTAAGTTTTGAGTAATTATCTCAATTCAAAGAAAGAATTTTATTTTTACAAACATATGAGCTAAGTATATTTGGAGAGTAGTATTGAGCACCGATATGGGGATGCAAATTCATATTAACTCAAGTCTCCATAAACCATGTAACCATCATGGGTAGTAAAGAATCATAATTTTTAGATGACTCCTTAAGATGCATTTAGCATAGACTAGTGGATCCACTAAGTTAAGCGTTCTATATGACGACAAAGTATAGGACAATTCTGGCAGCGTGGGCAAGACATTGTATCACCACTTAGGCTCATAGTGGTGGTTGTCGGTTAGAGAAACTCTCACATAAGTTATTGTATTCTTATATACACAATTATTTGTATTTTTACAAATATTTCAGAGTTATGTTGTATCCTTGCATACACACAGAGTTGACAACATGTTTTTAAACAATTTGTTTCTTTATATTGCACTTGTTTTAAATTGCTTTATATTGAAATGAGTTCAGTCATATTGAGTTGAGTATTCAAAGTTGAGTATCCAGAGTCGAATATCATATCCTTGAGTTGAGTATCTAATCTCTGAATTGAGTATCTTATCCTTGAGTACTTCTGAGTTGAGTAAGTTTGAGTAGTTTGAAGTATTCATTAAGTTGAGTAAGATTGAAAAGAGGTAAGTATGTTTCCTTTTAATCAAGTTTCAAGCTTATGTTTATGTTTTAGAATTCCTCTTACATGCTCGTACATTCCACGTACTGAGCCATTTGGCTTGCATCTTCCACACAGGTATTTAGGATCATCAACAGGAGCTTCGTTGATACATCCGAGAGTTCAGTTAGCTATGGTGAACCTCCTTGCTTCCGGAGGATTTCATTTACCTTTTAGTTATATCAGTTGTTAGGATGTCATGGGTCTTGTCCCGACTTCCATCTTTATCAGTTAGAGGCTTCATAGATAGTCATTATAGTTGAGAAGTTTGTATCATATATTTTATTAAATGTTTTGAAGACTTAAGTTGCTTATTTTATGGCGAGTTGAATATTATTTTTATATTTAGAGGTTTTCATTTAAGTTAAAGTTTTGTATTTCAGTTTCATAAATTGTATTCAATTTTTAAGCTTTGGCAAGCTTGAGTTAGTCTTCTGCTTGTAGTCAGCCAGGATGAGGGTTCGCTTGGGGACCAGTAATGGTCTTCGAGTGGCAGCCACGTCCAGGGTGTAGGCTCGGGTCGTGACAATATCTCCCATCTCTCACATCTCACCTCTCACTTCCTCTTACCCCCTCTTACCTCTCATCATACCTCTGATCTATCTTATCTCTCATATCATATATCATATCTCTCTACTATAAAGAGCATCACACCCTTGATCGTGAAAAATCAATTGTTTATTGAACCATGTGAATTGCGTGACAATAGGATACACCAAATTTAGAGGTCAAAGAGTTTTAGAAAACATTATTGGTGGAAAAAATATGAACGATTCCATTGAATTGAACAGGGTCCATGAATCTAAGAAATGGTGAGAATGCTTGATCTTTCTCAATATCTCCCTCGATATGTGATATGAGATCTATCGATGTGAGATGAGAGATGAAAGGGGTGATGTGGGGTAGGGGGAGGGCGGATGGGGGGGAAAGGTGAGGACGGTAGAACTAACATACCGTTACTGATATCCCTCGAGTAGGGATCTATCGATATGAATATTTAACTCTCTTACGAGAGGTTTCACTGTTATTGGTTACTTCTTAAAGAAGATGGCCACACTCAAGTGTTTTTTTGAGTGTATTTCTAAAAGTTCACATTGATTTTGCTTACATGAGACAAATAAGAATGAATATTGTCCCCGTTTCATAAAGGGCATTGATTTCATCATTTTGATTATCATACTATCATGTTTCCTGGTGGTTGTCCTTTATTAAAATAGTTATGGTTAAGTGTTATTACTCACTGAGCTAGCGTTTCACTCCTCGCTAAATATTTTTACAAAGAACTCATGTGGTATTGACGAGGATTTCATCAACTAGAAAGTGTGATTTGGTAGCATTTGGTGAGCCCCACATTACTTCGTGTGGCAAGAGATCTATCAAATTTCTATGTTTCTTTTTTTTTTAAAAACTCTTAGGCTCCATTTGCCAGTCCTTTATTGGAGTCATGATTGTCCCTTTGTATTGTAGTGACTAGTTTTAAACTTCTTTTCGTAATTGAAGAAGAATTAGTATAATTGTGTGGCGATTGAATTGTTGATGGATATTGGGTCATGAGTTAGAGATGTTATTAGTTGTATTGTTGATTTCTAAGATAGGAAAAATTCAGGATATGCCTAAAAATAAAGGAAACTCTGCTTGTTTTTTTGTAGAATTCTGATAAGGGTTCTCCCCATTAGCATCGGTCACGTTCCTAAATTGGGTCGTGACAAAGTTGGTATCAGAGCCTAGGTTATTCTTGTGACTTATGGAGCATATGCTAGTAGTAGAATCTCAATTATGGTTATGTTGCCGGCCATTTATATAATCGTGATTCTGTAAAAACGTGATAGGTTCTGTCTTTTCTTTCTTTCTTATTCCTTCTTATATGTGTGATTGATTAATAAGTAAACCAAATTAATCTAACATTGTTATCTATCTATCTATCTATCACATGTCTTGAACATAGTCATTTAATAACAAGAATAGTCCAAAGGTTCGGAGGCATCAAGGGTCACCTTTGTTAACACATGTCTCTCCCAAATAAGGGGAACAAACAAAAGTAGTTGAAAAAGCCAAGAAAGAGATCATTATGTCATTGTGAGGAAATTTTTTGCACCTATGTGGTACCAATATTTTTTTTTATAAAGAGTACTACTCTGCATTTTAGCAGCATGAGAGTGTTACTGTTGGACACTTATCTTCATGTTCCGAGCAAGAGATATTTATGGACATAATGAATAGATTCGGGCAATAAATTATGGCCCAAGACCAGCTCCAGGCAGCTAAAGATTCATATTTGTCAAAAAAAAAAGTTGAGAGTTTCTAAGAATGAAACCTCTGAGGTTCTAACAACTCAAAGATCCTTAGAGGTTTTAACTACAAAAAGACAGAGACATGGAGACCTAATCTAAACTTACAAGATTTCACAAGCATTAACTTGGAGGAACAGATCTGGCTGCAGAGACAGTTTGAGGAGGAAGAAGTCTTAAAAGGCATCAATCTTTATGCTAGTGACAAGGCACCAGGACCTGATGGATTTCCAATGAGCTTCTTCAAAGAATTTTGGAGTGTCTTGAAAGAAGACATCTTGAACACTATGAAGCATTTCCATGAGTTCCAAGTTTTTGAAAAGAGTATGAATGCCACTTATGTGGCACTTATCCCAAAGAAGAGTGAAGCTACATCACTAAGGGACTTCAGACCAATAAGTCTAATTAGTGGGATGTACAAAATAATAGCTAAAGTGTTGGTTGAAAGGCTCAAACAGGTGGTAAACAAGCTGGTGAACAAGCACTAGATGGCATTTATTAAGGGCAGGCAAATCATGGATGTTGCATTAATAGCCAGTGAATGTGTGGACACAAGAGTAAGAGGAGAGAAAGCAGGCATCATGTGCAAACTTGATTTGGAAAAAGCATATGACCATGTAAATTGGGAGTTCCTTCTAAACATCTTAAGACAAATGGGGTTTGGAGATAAATGGTTAAAATGGATAGGTTTTTTGTATTAAAACCGTCAGGTTCTCCATTCTGGTGAATGGAGAACCGGTGGGTTTTTTTTCATCTGAAAGGGGCTTGAGACAGGGTGATCCTCTCTCCCCTTTCCTTTTCATACTAGTTATGGAGGGGCTGAATAACATGCTGAGGATAGCTACTCAAAACAGATGGATAAGGGGATTTGAAGTTAGTAGCAGGGCAGGTGTGAGTATGGAGATTTGCAAATTGTTGTATGCGGATGACACTGTAATCTTCTGCGAGGCAAAAGAAGACCAAATTAGATATATTAGAGTGATACTTGTGATCCTAGAAGCTGTCTCTAGTCTAAGGGTTAACTGGAGCAAAATCAGTTTATTCCTTATCAAGGAAGTAGCACAGATGCAAAGATTGGCTAACATCCTAAGGTGCAAGATTGAGCAATTCCCAACAACTTACTTGGGAATGCCTCTGAGAAGCAATCATAAAGAACTACTGATATGGGATGGGATAATCCAGAGGTTAGAGAAGAAGTTAGCCATATGGAAATCTCAATACTTGTCACTCGGGGGCCGACAAACACTAATAAATGCAGTGCTAGACTCCCTCCCCACTTATGTCATGTCTCTATTTCCCTTACCTGCTAAGGTGCTAGAGAAATTGGACAAACTTAGAAGAGACTTTCTTTGGTTTGGAAACAAAGAAAGAAAGGGGTATTATCTAGTTAACTGGGAAACAATGCAGCTACCTAAGCTCTCAAGTGGTCTTGGAGTTAGGAATCTTCGAATCCATAATGAGTGCCTCTTGACGAAGTGGCTGTGGAGATATGTGCAAGAAGAACATGCTCTTTGGAGAGAAGTTATACATCACAAGTATGGCCAGGACTCCCAATGGTGTACCAATGAGGTCACTATACCATATGGAGTTTCAACATGGAAAACAATAAGATCCTTCGGGACCAAACTAGCAGGAAACATCAAACTTAGAATAGGAAATTGAGCTAAAATACTATTCTAGAAAGATGTTTGGGTAAGACATGAGGCATTAATGCAATCTTTCCCCAACTTATTCTCTTTCTGTAGCAATCCAGATATCACTCTAGCTGAGAGTTAGGAAAATGGTTAGGATATATCTTTCAGGAGACATTTCAATGACTGGGAAATAGATATAGTGGCACAATTGTTACATACAATCAATGAGTTTAATGGTTTTGATGCAAGGCCAAACACAATCTCGTGGGTACACTCTGAGGATGGAAGATTTACAGTTAACAAGCTCTATAAGAAGGAAATGGGAACTCAACAAGGTCTCAGATTGGCTAGATGGAAATATGTATGGACAAGCCAAACACCAACCAAGATCAAATGTTTTGTATGGTTGGTAGCTAAGAGGGCTTGTTTGACACAGGAGGTACTGCAGAGGAAAGGTGTACAACTAGTACCAAGGTGTTTTTTATGCAATGAGACAAATGAGACCAACAACCATCTTTTTCTACACTGTAGAGTCACAGGTCAACTATGGTCTCTGTTTTTTAGGCTCACTGGTAACAGCTGGACGATACCAAAACATACTGCTGACCTGTTGAGTTGCTGGATCAGGAGAGGAGGCAGTAAAAGCCAAAAAAAATGGTGGAGAATTATTCCAGCTTGCATATGGTGGTCAGTATGGAAGGAAAGAAATGGAAGATGCTATGAGAACAAATCAAACTCCATACAGAAAGTCAAAGAAAATTGCATTGCATATTTGTATTTTTGGTGTAAACAGGAATGTATAGAGGAGGTAGAGCAACTAGTAGATATGTTAGGATCTTTGTAATTAGACTTCATAACCCCTCTATGTACGAATTTTTGGAGGTTACCAGCATAGCCTTAATGCTGAGGAATACAACATTACTAATTTAAAAAAAAAAAACAAGTTTTTAGGAAAGATTCTTGAGTGAAATACTTGAAGGTTTACAAACTCTAGCATGTTCCAATGAGACTACTATAGATCTAGTGTTCAGACAGTGAACATGAACAACAAATACATGGTATGATATTGTACTACTTGGAATACCAATAGGAGAACACCAACGATATGAGGCAATTCACTAAGTTATTTATGATTTTCTTCTCTCTTAACAGTTGAAAATGTGTAACTTGATTAGGAATTTAAGAAATTTGTTCAAAATGATAGATTGAACTAACATGTGACCCTAATTTTCAGTAGGCTAGATATGCTCCCTACTTATCATCTACCGAAGTATTTTTGGATTTAGAGATTTGTTGGAGGGTTGGTTAGCCCTTAAACAACCCTATGGATGAAGACCTTAACCTACTTACATGTAGTTGATGATTTAGCCAAAAGATTGAACATATGTAACATGATAAGTGACCATTCATACAGTTCTTCGAAAAGGCCAAAACAAAGAAATATTTCTATGGAAATTTTAGTACAAGTCTAAGAGTTGGAAATGATGACTTCTTAGGACATTGGGCAATACTTTTACTGGTTGTGACTCCCGTGAAAATATTATTTTGCTAGACATAAATGAGCATGTATTATATTGTCAAGACCCGATTCCTCGAATCATGATGACACCTACTATAACACACTAGTAGGTAAGCCAACCCATAACCCGGAACAACAAGTAATGGGTCTGAGGGCAGAAACTAAACAAGAGTAGGCAAAATTTAAGATAACAACATAACCAGGCAGAAACAAACCAAAACATATATACAAATAAAGATCCCTCCCAGAACCTGGAAGTCACTAGTACAGAGCTACTAACAAAACGAGTACAAGTCCCAAAAGTGGACCACAAAGACTGGACTGTCTCGAAAGGTAAAAGACAAGTCTGTATACACAGATGGAGACTGAAATAATACAAAACGCCGTGTGCTCACCCCCGTCTCCGAATCAGACTACTCTAAACTGGATCAACGATGGCCACTGGTGCTCGGACCTGCATCACGAAATAGATGCAGAGCGTAGCATGAGTACCAAAACAACAGGTACCCAGTAGGCATCATAGGCCGATTGAACTTGAAAAGTAAAGGCAATATGAAAAGAAGGAATAACACAAACTGAAGGTCAAGAGCGGAAATCTAAGTAACAATGAAATGCACAGGAGTTTAGAAAGAACTAACTAAAGTAATATATAATCTAACTACACCTAACTGGACCCCCATAAGCCCAGAAGGTACACTCGTGCGCAAGTTAAATAAAAACCCAAACAGACCTCATAAGCCCGACGAGTACACATAATAATTATAACTAAAGAGAATTGCATATAAGAACCTAAGAACGGAGAATATTGAACCAGAACCTCAACCCTAATCCCAACTAATCAACATGTATTCATATTCTCGAGCTCAATCTAAGAGAGGGAAACTGTAGCCTACCTGTAGGCCGATCACACGCGCTCTAAAATCACATCTCCGAAGCTTTCCCTATCCGAACGGCCTCAAAATGCTCCCCCGCTATCAAAAATAGAGTCACAACATTATTACGGTCGTTTAGACACCAAAATCACAACAAACGAAGACGGGTCAATTTTGTTGTCAAAACGGGAATCGTATGACCCACACCGAACTGTCCGAATTTGACTCCGTCAAGACACCCTAAAAAACACCCCAAACTTGTGTTCCAAAATGGAACACAATTCGGGGCACAAAACGCAGCAAAAACCAACAAGCATGAAAATCACACTTTAATCAATTAAAAAAGAAAACAACAACAGTCTAAACTTGAAATTTACAAGAATCTAATGGTGCCCAGCACTCCTTGAACACTCTACAACGTAGCCACGATAATTCTCAACACGTGGGACTTCAAATCACCTAAAACGGAGCTAAAATGAGTGAGATAAGACCAAAACAAGAAAGCCAAAAATAAAGGCTCGAAAAAGGGTACTACAGTCAGTTATTGCGAAATTTACCTTGAACTACGCGCACCCGACAACTTCCAAAAACTCTACAGCAAAGCCACCAAAAATACGAAGTTCCCGCACTTCAAATCGCCTAATTCGGATGAAAGATGAGTGAGTTAAGAGGGTTTTAAGTTTGGGAAATGTTGCTGATTTTCTGCATTTATAGCAGATTTTCTGCAATAATTTCCAAAACTAAAAAAACTCCGACGAGGTACTCCGAACTCGTTCGAAACCCCATGCACGCAAACAAGATATGCAACCCTACTAAATTTGATATTCCAGACTCAATGGCACAGTCAAAATTTTCATACGAGGTCATCTTGACAAAAAGTGGGTCCCACACCCAAATGTCATTTTAAGTCAAAAACCACAAAAGAGCTAAGAAAAAATATCGAAAACCTCGAGACACAAAAGAAAGGTCAATCTAGACCAAACTTGACATTCCGGAGCTAACTGCGCTGACGGAATTCTCATCCGAGTGTGTTTACTCAGAATGTTGACCAAAGTCAAACTTAGGCTTAAACTTAAAGTTAAAACGCCTAATCGCACCGGCTCACACTGAAAACCTCGAGAGTCATGCCAACCATGCTATTAGCCTAAAATGACCCTTCCGGAGCTGATGAAATCGTCAGAATTGGATTCTGATGTCATCTTCTTGAACTTTTCATCAAAAATGATCGTTCAAGGTTCATAAGCTCCAAAAATACTAAAACTCGCACAAAAGCCAAACGAACGACCAGGTGACCGAACTGTCAATCCCAGCAAGTCATAAATGACTTGGGTTCGCTACATGAACGCTCTAAACGACACACATAAGGCAAAACACAGAAATGACCAAAAGAGTCATTACAATATCCACTACTAAAAAGGACTTTCGTCCGCGAAAGAAAGGATCAAGAAGTACCTGAAGGCTCAAACAAGCCGGGAAACTGCTCTCGCATCTCCTGCTTGGTCTCCCAGGTAGCCTCCTCAACTGGATGATGCCTCCAACAGACCTTAACAACAGGAATGGCTCTCGAGCGCAATCTCTTCACATCTCTAGCTAGAATGGCAACTGGCTTCTCTGCAAATGTCACACGGTCATCCAACTCAACTCTGAGGTTCTGGTTCGATGTTCTCCGTTCTTAGGTTCTTATATGCAATTCTCTTTAGTTATAATTATTTTGTGTACTCGTCGGGCTTATGGGGGTCCGTTCGAGTTTTTATTTAACTTGCGCACGAGTGTACCTTCTGGGCTTATAGGGGTCCAGTTAGGTGTAGTTAGCTTATAGATTACTTTACTTAGTTCTTTCTACACTCATGTGCATTCCATTGTTACTTAGATTTCCGCTCTTGACCTTCGGTTTATGTTATTCCTTCTTTTCATATTGCCTTTACTTTTCAAGTTCAATCGGCCTATGATGCCTACTGGGTACTTGTTGTTTGATACTCATGCTACGCTTTGCATCTATTTCGTGATGCAGGTCCAAGCACCAGTGGCCAGCGTCGATCCAGTTTGGAGTAGTCTGATTCAGAGACGGAGGTGAGCACATGACGTATTGTACTATTTCAGTCTCTATCTGTGTATATAGACTTGTTTTTTACCTTTCGAGACAGTTCAGTCTCTGTGGTCCACTTTTGGGACTTGTACTCTTTATTAGATAGCTCTGTACTAGTGACTTTCAGGTTCTGTGAGGGATTTCTATACATATTTATTTTGGTTTGCTTCCGTCTTGTTGTCCTTGTTTAGTTTATTGTTTTCGCTAGTTTCTACCCTTACACTCATTGCTTGATGTTCTGGGTTTCAGGTTGGCTTACCTACTGGTAGGGTATAGTAGGTGCCATCATGATTCGAGAAATTGGGTCGTGACATATACTCCCTCCGTCCTATTTTATGTGAGGTAGTTTGACTCGGCACATAGTTTAAGAAAAAAATGAAGACTTTTAAAACTTGTGGTCCAAAATGAATGATAGAAATTTGTGTGGCTATAAATCATTTCATTAAGGGTAAAATATACATTGTATCGTTAAGTTATTATTTTATATAGAATTGTGTCATTCTTTTTTTAGACTGACTAAAAAGAAAACTAAGTCACATAAATTGGGACAT